ATGTCAGATTGAAGTACTGGAACAGAAAGTTAATGTCAGTTGAAGTACTGGAACAGAAAGTTAATGTCAGTTGAAGTACTGGAACAGAAAGTTAATGTCAGTTGAAGTACTGGAACAGTTAGTCCATCAGTAAGTTAATGTCAGTTGAAGTACTGGAACAGTTAGACCATCAGTAAGTTAATGTCAGATGAAGTACTGGAACAGTTAGTCCATCAGTAAACTAATGTCAGTTGAAAATACTAGAACAGCTAATCCACCAATAAGCTAATGTCAGATGAAGTACTGGAACAATTAGTCCACCAATAAGCTAATGTCAGATGAAGTGCTGGAACAGCTAATCCACCAATAAGTTAATGTCAGATGAAGTGCTGGAACAGCTAATCCACCAATAAGTTAATGTCAGATGAAGTACTGGAACAGTTAGTCCATCAGTAAACTAATGTCAGTTGAAAATACTAGAACAGCTAATCCACCAATAAGCTAATGTCAGCTGGGTAACACTATTCCAGATAAGTTCTCAGTAGTAAGCCGAAATTATGTGTAATAAAGTGTGAGATGCCAGAAGTAGTTGAGTGAGGCGAATCTAAGTACAAGATTTTTGTGTAAGCGTTGATATAAATAGAGTGCGTTATATACAAACGTTTTTGGAGCCACACCACGCCGTGACAGTCCATGTTGACACGTCCACTCATGCTCTACCTGACGACTGTGCATTTTGACAATAGCTTTGCAGTGTAGTATTTTCAGAAGGCTCCTGCGCATGGCTTCAATGTTCAAAGCACACCACCCATCCCTACTAATTTCCATAATCCATCTAGTACGACGAGGATAGTTTCCCAACGCTAGTTTTAACACTCCAGTCAGACAGAAAACCACAGATGTTGCCTTCGGATTCTTGACCACTATGTCTTCACATGGAATAGCATGGATACCCATTTCATTCCTGAACTGCTTAAAGTATGCGACAGTTGAACGGATGTTATGACTGTAAGCCTTACCTTGGTGAATCCATACCCCGTTGGTCTCGTTTCAGACGGAAATCCTTCTTGATTATGTTGTCTGAGACACGTGGATGGATTTCGTTATTAACTTTTGTTTTCGTGTTACTCTGTTTACCACAGCTGAGATACGACGTTGTGCAGGTCTATTTTAGGATAGTCCAGAAATCTCAAGTTGATTCATATTCCTTTGTTTTCAAATGTCAGTGTGTACAGGGGATATCACAGTCTTGGAACTTAGAAATTCCCTATCTGAACACATCTTTGTGATCGGAGTATATGATTACTTGGAGTTTGAAGAGGCTGTTATAGATTCAATTGTTGATTATTTGGAGTTTGAAGAGGCTGTTATAGATTCAATTGTTGATTATTTGGAGTTTGAAGAGGCTGTTATACATTCAATTGCGATGACATTATACAACTTCCTTATTGTCAAACAATGTTCAAATGTAGTTCTGATACGTTCCATTCCACCGCGACTTTATATTAGCACGTGACTTGTGGCTCAGCTACTTGACCACATACTAATTTCAACCACTGTGATCACGTCACTTTAAAATCTGCATTGCATTTTTACTATGGCCGATCTTGGTCAAATGTTGATGACAGACAGCATACTGTTACATTGAGAACATTTTCAAAGTTTCTACGATAATATAGGAAAGGAATTTGAGAGAAAGACAAAGGAGTGAATAGATATCACAATAGTAAATATTACAGCCCACTGGTGTATAGAGACTTAAAGAAACTAGGCTAATTACTAAGCCTAACACTGATTTTTTTCTTGGCTTGTAAAAAAATAAAGACACTTACTTTTCTGTACAAATAAAAAAATCGTTTAATTTGGGTTTACTTAATGATCTGTAAAGATATATATATATATAAATAAATGTTTATAAGTAAATAAGAAAAAATGTTCCATTTTGGTTCGCTGAGCAGTCTTTCTTGAAACGACACGAGCCGCCCACACTGAAGTACCATAGTTTAAAAAGCCTCTGAGCTATTATAATACAAGTCATTTTCACTGTTTGTAATGCTTTTCTTTAACATTGAAGTATTGTGTGTGTTTGGCATCATAGCGTTAACAGCGGAAGCAGACATCTGGAAGCGTGTTAACAGCGGAAGTGCTTACCTGGTCAATTAAACATTCTAATACAAAGAAAGGTTTTGTCTGTCACACCGTATCATTTTGTTGTGGCATCATAGCGTTAACACCGGAAGCAGACATCTGGAAGCGTGTTAACAGCGGAAGTGCTTACCTGGTCAATTAAACATTCTAATACAAAGAAAGGTTTTGTCTGTCACACCGTATCATTTTGTTGTGAATACTATACATGTCCTTACTTTTAACAGAGTAATAGACTAATCATCGTGGAGAACACTTCTATAAATATTGACATATTCACAAGGACAGATGCACGTGTCTATGCCGCTAAAATGAGGACCAAAGTATTGGAATCCGTCTTTACATGTCGTCTTTATTCGGGCGTGGGAACGTGAGAGCGAGAGTGTATGTTTATACGTAATTCAGTCAGCTGTGGTTCACCATTCGCTTGAATTGCTGTCAGTTTTTATTTTTTTGTTACTGTGCATAGTTCCATAGAAATTCTAAACACTTTCAGACACTATGTCCCACTTCGACACGAGAGACATTTGTGAAGAAGCTGGCATCGTGCCACGATATGCCTCACACTTCATTGACTCGATAAACGAGTAAATCATAATGTATACATTATGTATGGCGTATTTCAAGCGTAATATTTTGTTACGACCAACAGGTTTAGTGTTCAAGTTATCAAGATAGCGTGACAAAGAAAACATTGTAAATCAACAATATGTGCTACTTGCGAGGGAAAATACAAACTAACAAAGCAACTGGTTCTTCAACAAACTCTTACAAAAAAACTTGTTTAAAAATGTACGCGTATTCCTTAATCGGCGGTGAAAAGCCAGCAGAATTAATCGTTTCGATATTGATAATCATTAGTGACAATTCAGAAGAGTTAATCTTTTCAAGATATTGTTAATCAAGAGACACCCTAGAAGTGTTAAAAGTTGCGATACCAATAATTGTTGGTGACAGCTCTGAAGAGTTAAGTGTTGCGATAAGAGTAACTGTTAGTGACAACTCTGAAGAGTTAAATGTTGCGGTATCAGTCGCTGTTGGTATCAAGTTAACAGAGTTAAGTGTTGTCAACTATGTCCTGGGTCCTGTTCGTGACAGAATTTCTTGTTTTGCTGTCTTAAGAATCGTTATCGAAATAAACACAAAACATATCTGCGAATTTGGAGAAGACAAGATAGAATTACAAACATATAACAGCGTGAAAGTTAGGCTTAGAAATTTAAAAACACGGTAGACTGTGAAAGTCGCTTCTACACAAGCGCCGCCACGCTAACATACCGATGTCCAAAAACCAATGTACAGAAATTACTTATAAAAATTGGATGTACATTCTGACAAAAAACGTGATACCGTATAAACAACTACTTGTAACTGTTTAATTTCTGAACAAATACAATTTATAATACTCACATAAATGAATTCCTTCTCGTATCGAATTTTCAAATTCCATAACAACGAGGCTTCGTTCAGGTCGCTGAAAGTGGAGATTTAAGTCAAAAATGTTATGAAAATCATTGAACATTAATCATTACCAATACTTGAAATATCTCATCGTATCTTTGAAAATATACTGAAATTCTGTACTATATTACACCGATACTTACACAATATTGACCATGTCTTCAATACCATTCTGTCCAAGATCCTGTCTCTTCTTTACCGACGTCAGATTGGTCAGTGTAAAACTTTGGGGCTGAAACATATATTGTATATCAATGAAAACTGCACGTGTGGATACCTGGTTTAAGTTCAGTTTTCTTTCATTTTCAGTTTTTATAAGCAGTATGGTTAACGTAACTTAACTAATTTATAAGTGAGTTTATTTTCAAGGTGGTGACCTCAGATTTCCTTGAGGTGAAAGGTCACGACTACTAGAAAGTTTAAAGGTTCGTATGTACACCATGTTATCATCTCACTAACAATGAAAAGTTTGTTTGTTTGTTACTAATTTAGGGGTGTAAGACTAGAGGGAAGGCAGCTAGTCATCACCACCCACCGCCAACTCTTGGGCTACTCTTACCAACGAATAGTGGGATTGACCGTCACATTATAAGGCCCCCACGGCTGAAAAAGTGAGCATGTTTGGTGTAACGGGGATTCGAACCCGCGATCCACAGATTACGAGTCGAGCGCCCTAACCACCGGGTCATGCCAACAAAAAACGTAAATTAAAAGCTAAGGTATATAAAGTTCTCGTATATTTCAGATTATACTTTAATTAAAACATATTTAGTATATGTCTCTTAGTAGAAATATAATATTAACTCCAGAGTTATCGAGGCTTAATTTATCCAAAGTTAACCTAGTCGAGTGGTAATTATAAAACTGGATAACGAAGAGGAAGAACGGAGTACCTGTCCACTGATGACCGCCTGGACAGTAACTACCTGGGCAGGGCGGGAGTACTCCAGAACTTCACCAGGGATCAGGTAGCCAACGCCGGGGTCAAACCACACCAAATCACCCTGAAAAACAAAACGGTTAGAAATACTTTAGGACTAAGCAAATGTGGTCAAACACTTCTTAATGGTGATGTTTTATCTCTTACTCTAGGACTAAGCAAATGTGGTCAAACACTTCTTAATGGTGATGTTTTATCTCTTACTTTAGGACTAAGCAAATGTGGTCAAACACTTCTTAATGGTGATGTTTTATCTCTTACTCTAGGACTAAGCAAATGTGGTCAAACACTTCTTAATGGCGATGTTTTATCTCTTACTCTAGGACTAAGCAAATGTGGTCAAATACTTCTTAATGGCGATGTTTTATCTCTTACTCTAGGACTAAGCAAATGTGGTCAAATACTTCTTAATGGTGATGTTTTATCTCTTACTCTAGGACTAAGCAAATGTGGTCAAACACTTCTTAATGGTGATGTTTTATCTCTTACTCTAGGACTAAGCAAATGTGGTCAAACAC